TACGGGGTGACACCAGTGATTAAAAATATGAAAACTTTAATGGCACAACATACAATTTTTTGCTTAAGTAATTAATAATATAAAAGATTTTTAAATAAAAACTCATAACAGCCAGGAAAGTTATGCAACTTGTTGTAGATTTTTTTTATCAATGTTCAAAATCCAAGTTATGAAGTCAAGAAATTATAGTTTTAATAAAGATTTATAAAAAACTTCTGACTTCATTGTAACATGCAATCTGAAAAACTTTCTGAAGTGTATCTGAAAACAAACTGATTTTGCTGATATTTTTAGATTTTGTTTTAAACAATTGTATTTACAAATGTCCAATAGATATTACACTATATAATCATTAAATATAAAAACAAAATTACATTCATTAAACTTAATTTTAATATTGTCAAGCTTTCAAAAGGAATATGGAAAAATTTAGGATCTTAAATATCTTAAAAATAAAAATATTTAAAAAATTACAAAGCATTTTCATGTCTGTCATTGTTAAACAAAACATTCATTAAAAGAAAATATATACTAATACAATTAATCTTCCAATGCTACATTTGTAATTTATATATTATTTTAAAATATAAATATTACATAAATATTGCAATTACAAATCCAAATTCTCAAATACTTTTAATAGTTGAGAATTTGAATTTGTATTATTTTGAAATCTAATGAAAACATTAAGAGTTATTTTATTCTCTATATGACAATTATATTATATAAGATCAATATAACAGTTAAAAATCCTGCAAATGCAATATTAAATTATGTTAAATGCTTTAATATCAATTTAATTTATAATAGCATTAAAATAAAATTTTATTAAAAAAATAATTTGTTTCCACTGTTGATAAATAGTCCTTACAAGTTAATGAAACAATAATATTCAAAAGGTATATTAGTTAAAGAACTGTTCTAAATAATCATTATTAATTTAACTTATGGGCTACTTCAGGAAAACTTAACTATGTTTTCTCATATAAATTCCAATTTATAAATTTTTAAGATTATTTCAAAGCTATGCATTTAAAATATGATGTTAGAAATAGCAACTTTATCATTTTTATCTATTGAATATGCCCTAAAATTCTTTTTTATTTTTCATAATCATCTAAAAGTATTCTTATTTGTTCATATAAAAAGTAGTTTCATTAGAAATTGCATTGTAATGAAATTACAGATTCAAAATCATTTCATAATTTCTTATTATTTACATTTGATACCTTTCAAAATATCCTATACCAAACATAAACAAGAGAAATAAGCTATAATAATTTCTCAAGCAAGTATAAAACCTTTCCAGATCAGTGGCATTCCAAAGCTTGTCATTATTAAACAAAACTTTCATAATAAAACAAATAAATAGTATATATATAAGAATAACCATGCACATTTTGTTTGGCATTGCCTATTAAAAACTTGAAAATTGTTCAGGTTCAACATACTTTCAAACTAAATAATTCTACAAACAATTTAACCAATATATTGGCACTCTGATCAAAACACTCATTTTTTTTTAAACTTCACATACACGCTACCCATTATAAACTGATTTCTGTGTATAATTTAAATTTTATGAATCAATTTATGTAAAGTTATTCATAAAGTAACTGATTTCTAAATACTTTTAAAGTATCGAAATCCATAAAATTAAAAAAATAAGATTTTATAAGCATAATCCAATTTTTTATTTATTATCAATAATCTCTAGAACTGTTTATAATAATATTCTTATAAATACATTAAGATTCTATCAGTCTTAATGTATTTATAAGAATCTTATTAAAAACAGTTCTACAGAAATCAATTTTTTAGGAATTTTTTTATTGTAAACATCAACAGATATTCAAATCAAACTTTTGATGTTCATCAACTCTACATTTAATGTATAAAGTTGATAAATATACTTATATATGGTCATGATTTGTGAGGTTTAGTTTTACAAACGAGTGCTGTGCTGTACACATACTGAAAATCAGAACAGATGTACATCTACTAGTAAAAAATTTGAATTACATTAACACTTACACAGTTTACACAAACATAATAAATGATTACAAAACACCTGTACATATTGTTCATTAACAAAATTCAATCAGAGACACCCAAAAACAAAAAAAAAAAAACCAAATTTGTGTTCTTTCAGCAAATGATCTCTAACAGATGAGTATTTCTTGTGCTATCTCTTGACAATAAAAATTAAATAAGTAAATAATATTAATTTTTACAGAAAATCATTATTTATTCATGAAACCACATGTCCTATGGTGCCATTGTTCTTTCGAGAAAAGTATGCTGAGATTCAGTTGAATACTGGTATCATTGACCACATGGCACTGAGTATGTGTTTATAAACATCAAACATTTTATTACATATTTCTGACTGTCATGTTGTTAATAAAATGAGATCTAAGTGTATAAATTTCAAAAATAAAACATCAAATTTTTTAATTTCATTCTTTTTTTAATTTTAAAGAAATCAAAAATAATATTACTATTTATCTACAATATACAACATAGGAGTGATCAAAATTACTGCATGTGTAAAATGCTTTAGACCAGAGCAAAACTGGAGTTTACAGTAAGATCTAGTTGGGTACATATTAAATATAATTTTAATATTTATTTACATCTTTATCATGTTTATGTAAAATTTCATGTTCAGAATAAAGTTGATATTAATTTATATTTATGATTAAAATTATTTGAAGATTAAATGCAATTTTAAGTGTAATACACTCTAGTTAAAATTTCACATGTAATTTGAGATAAAAGATGAAAGTCTATGAAATTATCAATAATTTCAATACTAAACTATATTAATAATTTTGAATATTGGATAAATGGAAATAATTTTGAAGTTTCAAACAAGATGGTCTCAATATGTCAATAAATACTGATAAGCATGTTATTTCTTCCATGTATATATGAACTATATATATATAAATAATCTCTTTTTCTACAATATCTAAATTTTATTTTATGAATCAATTCTAATAATCAAATTTATTAATTTTTAAAACTATAACTTAGTAATTCAAATTCATATCATATTAGTTTAACAGTTAAGAAGTCTTACATCAAATTCATTAATATTTTTGAATTTTAACTTAACTCTTGAAATTTACTCTATTAAAGTAAATTTCAAGAGTTGCTACAAACCAAAAAATACATAACAGTTAATCATCATTTTTAAAACTTTACTCATATTCCTATATTATGCAACTCATAGCTCATTTTAATCATCATTATTTATATTATGAATCATGCTAAGCAAATTTTTTTAAACAGAAAATAAAGCATTATATTATAAACATTATTTTAATAAATTATAACAAGTGATGCACTCAAGATGTAATCTTGGGGGAGCCAAGTCAAACAGATAAAAATTTTGGTTGAAGTTTACCTCAGTAGTCCCAATGGCCATGCTTCAGTTATCTTAGGTTGGTTAGGTTAGGTCAGGCATGGCCAACATACGGCCTGCCTAATAAATTTATGTGGCCTGCGATCAATGTTTCAATATTAGGTAATGAAGTCCGAATAGCTCAATGAAAAATTCTGACGCCGAAAAGAAAAAAAAAAAATGTCAACAACTCACAGTGCATTTAGAGTTAACCCTCCATTACAAATCTCGTAAGTGCAGCATAGGGTGTTGATAAAGCATGATAATGTGAAAAATGTATCTGTAATCTCTATCTACAATTCAGTCTCTACGGGGTGACACCATAATGAGATCTTGCACCACCTCAAAATCTTCCTAGGACAACCTCTGATTCGGCCCGTGGAAAAAGTTTTCTTTCCAATTCAGCCCAGGGGCAAAAACTGTTGGCCACCCCTGGGTTAGGTTAACTAGTTTTAGTAGACGTTTCCTTTTTTTTCTTTTTAGGTATTCCTTTCTTCTGTCTACTAAAAATGTACTTAAACTAACCTAATCTACATAAGCTAACCAAAGCATGGCCATTGGGACTACCAAAGTAAACTTCAACCAAAATTCTTAATAAGAATTCAATAAAATTCTCACTTTCCATAACCACTAATTCCTAATATAGAAATATAAAACATACAACACAATATAAATAAAAAAATTAATTTAAATTAAGAAAATATTTTTTGAAAATTCATTAGTGTTTCTTTTCCTTTTACTTTGAGGGTGACAGGGCCACTCATCCCACCTTTTGGTGCATCACTGATAACAATGGCTGCATTCAGCAGACTCAACAGTTGTAATCAAGCAAATCGATAGCCATTACATAGCAATCCGGATCTGCAGAACAAGTGACATTGCATCCGAACAAATGCCTCATCAGTCAGTTTCAGCTAGCAATAGGTAATGTAAATAAAAGATGCAACCAAATGTGATGTCAAACACTAAACACATTCTGAAAGAGTGCTACCAATAGAGGGCATTCAGCAGAAAAATATTCAACAGTTCCGGAACTGCCGAGTCTGCTGAATGCAACCAATATGTTTATCAAAATACTTAGAGAGTATTACTTTTCTCAGCTGCAAACACATTGTTATTTGTAATTAAAAAAATCAAAATAAAATATTAATAAATGGCATTACAAATGACATATATGGAATTTCAGCGTTTGACATTTACACACCCCCATGACAATGCCAAAAAAAAATAATCTGAAACAAAAAAAACGTTAAACTTTCCATTATTTTCATATTAAAAGATTACCAAAAAGAATAGAAATAAGTTTTGTAATTGTGTATATGTAAATTGGTAAAGCTATTTTTAAACATCTGTTTTACAGAACTTTTAAACTGGTGTAAATAACGTTGTTATAACAAAAATGGCGATGAAATTATATTTACCTTCGCTTGAAAACTTATCCCATGTTGAAAGGCTTCTTCGTTATGCAGAGGTATTCTACTATCATAGGCATCATCGTTAACTAGATTGTACTGCTTTTTAGACGGCATTCTGCAAGGCACCACTATAATCCTGATTCCATCGTTGATTTGATTTTTACCTTGTTACTCAATCAGTCCTTCGACGTTAACTTAATCATATTTACTTATAAATTTACAAACGTATACAACGGATAACCGCACAAATTCCTTTTATCCGATTCCAACCATCGTCTGCTTATTGCCATTTACGTTAGGCTTAAATTCAGTTAACGTTAAACTGTTCAAGTTACCTTTCATTGAAAAACATTCATTTCCGACAAAATTTTAAATACTTTCTGAACCAAAATAAGCATCACGTGCTAGTTTTATTTTGAATTTGTTATCTGTAAATCGGTCTAACATTCCTACACTGATTGGGCCTGGACGATTTATCATTTGGCGTCAAATCACATAGTGACCTCTGGTGAAGAAATTCAAATTTCAAAAAATAAATAAATAAATAAATAAATAAAGGTAATAAATTAAAATGCGAAGATATTTCGAATATAAATGAAAAATACTTAATTGATGTCATGATATTTATTTTTTTAAACTTATATTAAATTATTTAACGTTATAAACTAAATTTTTTTTGTACTTTTTACGTTACGTTTCTTCGAAATTTATGATAACGATAATTTAATAAATTAATACGCCTAATAACAGCTTAATTATTTTTTTTTATTTTTAATGTTAATTTTATAACGATAAAATATTTTTAGATTCTTTATCAATTCATGATGTATTTGGCAAAGACAATATTTTATTAATTATTACTTGTTTTAAAAGAAAGCTTAGAAATGTTTCTTATTTATTTATTCTTTTCAATAAAATGATAATTATAATTTTTTTAACTTTTTATTTAATTTCAATGAATTTATTAAAATATTTTAAAATATATACTTATTTATTATATTGTATTATGCACAGATAGAGAATATAAAACAAAAAAATATAATAAAATCTGCCAAAAGATGGCGCTAAATATATATATACAGTATACTGTATATACGAGTGTATAGTAACAACCTACAATAGCCAGGATCTCAATATTAGAGAAGAAGAAAGAAAGTCATTTGCTCTGAACACGTGTGTTGATGCAGGTGGTTTGCACGAGTGCTGATGACCGGACTTTCGATCAAATGATCAATAATAATACTATTGCAAAGATGCGCTTGTTATGATAGTATTTTCGAAATTTTAAATTTTTAAAATCTATATATGCATGTACTGTTGAGTTCTAAAGATTCGTTTTAAAATGGTTCCTTGCTATGTGCGATTTTGTACATCAAATAAATCGAAAGAAAGATGAAATAGTAAATCTTTATCACGGAAAATAATAAAAGTGGCACCTCTATAAATTTTTGTATTACTTTGATAATTACTGTACAGTAGACCCCCCTATAACGCGGAGATACGTTCCTCGTTATACGAATTTCGCGTTGTAGGAATCCTTAAATACATGAGCCAATCGCAGCCCGACACGTGTCAAGTTTACGGACTACGGCTGTTTGAAAAGTTTTCTTCCATAAAATTAAGTACAATGTTATTGTATGAATTATTTAATGAAAATATTTAGAATTAAAATTTCTGTTTTAATCAAATGTAATAATTTGGAGCAATATAAGGAATTTCCTCCCTAACATAGATTTTTATAATTATTATGACAATTAAATATTCATGTGTTGTAGTGCTAGAGTACAGTTCATATAATTGCAATACTGTTATTGTTTACGGCTTATTATTTTATTTCGTTCATTTATTTACTTAAGTTAGAATATTGATTTTAACTATTATAATGTTAAGTTTTTACTATTTGTATATTTGTTACACGTGTTTTTAGTTTTAAAATAATTTTCATTATGCCAATTTTTGTTGACGGTAGGTTAAATAGACTACATTTCGATAGCAAGACTAAAATAAAGATGTGAGTTTTTTGAAAATTTATCATGAATATTGAGATAATCTCCCTTAAACATTTCTTTATTCTGTATTTCTTCTTTTGTGTTTGTCCTTCACTTATTTTTAAACTATAAGAAAACTTTACATACAATTTTAAATGCCTATAGGACGAAAAGAGTCAGAACTGAAAAAACAAACTAAAAAGTCCATTATGAATATTTTTTAACTCTTTCTACCTTGTGGGCATTGAGAAGGTCCTTTTTAGTAAGCCCATTATGGGTTCGGCCAGATCCACAATGTGGTAGCTGGGTGGTGAGAGATGGGAGCCCGATATATCCAGACGGACAACATCCGAAAATTTTCTAGGAGTTTTCGACCCGTCCGGATTCGATTCCGGGTCCCACAGATCTGGGCCCTTATACCCCGTTCGCACCGAGCATTTCGATCTAGATTGTGGCTAAGGTCGGAGCCTGTTCCGTGGTGCGAACGCTCTCGACCGTTTCAACCTCGACTGAAACGAGGTTCAATCGCGATCGACTGGAGAGAGTTCTCGAAACTAGATCCAGTCATAAGAGAGATCCCACAATCCCACGCGCGCGAGAAAATACAAGATGGCTACGGAATACGTGTCGGGCTATCGACAGAGAAATAAAAAAGACAGCTGGAGAGACGACAACATCTGTCTATTATTATATGTATGGCAAGAAAAAGTATTTATTTCTAACCAAAACTTCCATTTTGTTTGTTTGGTGTTTGTGACTTACCGCGTAGTTACGTCAGTTTTATGATCGCGTGTAATAGCCAGGTTCTTCTCGAGCGGACTGCCTGTGCGAACAGCACGACGTTCGACTAGCGACAGTCACAACCAGATTGTAGGTAAATCGAGATTGAAGTGAGTCGTGGATTGTGTGCGAACGTAGTATTAGTCTCGAGTTTTTCGTGTAACAACTCCCAACGTGTTGAAGGTGTCACGTGGTACCATCTCACACTCTGACGTCAAATTGGTAGTCTCGAGTTCTAACTCACGTGCTTTCCCATCTCACCATGCGAGTTGCTACTCACGTTGAGTCGAGCATGTGAGATCGCTACACGAAAGTGAAAATGGCTGACGGATACGTAATTCTTATGGCTATCGAAGAGTTAGAAAGAGCCGAAAGACGTTGTTTGAGAAGACAACGAATTTTTCGACCACGAGTAGATGACATTTCTTTTCGTGTCAAGTCAATAATAATAAAAAAATTTTTAATTCATAATTGATAAAATTANACACGAAAAACTCGAGACTAATACTACGTTCGCACACAATCCACGACTCACTTCAATCTCGATTTACCTACAATCTGGTTGTGACTGTCGCTAGTCGAACGTCGTGCTGTTCGCACAGGCAGTCCGCTCGAGAAGAACCTGGCTATTACACGCGATCATAAAACTGACGTAACTACGCGGTAAGTCACAAACACCAAACAAACAAAATGGAAGTTTTGGTTAGAAATAAATACTTTTTCTTGCCATACATATAATAATAGACAGATGTTGTCGTCTCTCCAGCTGTCTTTTTTATTTCTCTGTCGATAGCCCGACACATATTCCGTAGCCATCTTGTATTTTCTCGCGCGCGTGGGATTGTGGGATCTCTCTTATGACTGGATCTAGTTTCGAGAACTCTCTCCAGTCGATCGCGATTGAACCTCGTTTCAGTCGAGGTTGAAACGGTCGAGAGCGTTCGCACCACGGAACAGGCTCCGACCTTAGCCACAATCTAGATCGAAATGCTCGGTGCGAACGGGGTATAAGGGCCCTGTAGGGTGCAACCTTCTTAATACGTCCTGCAACCTCCAAAATAATAATAACAATAATGCTGTGTAAAATATGTATTAAAAATTACCTTTGAATTACGTAGAAATTTTCACAAGTAAAAAAAAATTATTAAAGTTTGTTGAAATCTGTTTACAACAACAACAAAAATAGCCTTTGAATTGAGTTGAAAATTTAAAGAAAAAATTGAACTTAAACTTCTAACGTAGAAGGTAATTTACGTATTTTAAATAAAACATAATACAAAATATTATTGTAAATTTTTATAATAAAATTTTAAAAAGCAAAGATTATCAATACTCCATCACTCAATCTGGTTCTTATTTATACTACTTAATCTACTTATCTATTAATAGTAATGAAAAGTCCTGCTACCGAGAATGCCCTTTCCGATTGGTCGAACGACTATGAGTGTATACGCAGTGATGGGCAAACTACGGCCCGCGGGCCAGATGCGGCCCCCTGAAATGTTCTATCCGGCCCGCGCGACATTATTCCTAATCTGACGAGTAAAAAAGAATACAGGCTGTGGTGGTTGATGCACCACTTAACTTGAGTGTTCGTTGATTATATAAAATAACCGAAGCTTTATATCTCACCATGAAAGTTTATTTACAATCATGTACAAAATTTTGTTTTACACTTATTGAGTAAAAGCTCGATCGGTTACAAGCATGCTTCGGTACAGAACATCCACTCGTCGTGCATAGCGTAGCCGAAAGAGAGAAAAAGAAATATGGCGGACGGCCTGCACATGTTTTTATAGCGCCACCTGGATTTTCAGATGCAGCTCTAGGTTACAATTATATTGGCCCGCCTAAAGTTTTCTTCTTTTCCTTTGGCCCGCTCTTTAAAAAGTTTGCCCATCACTGGTGTATAGCAAACAAATAAATATCCTTATTTATATGTATAGATTAAATTATTGTTGAACTTTATTTTTTAATAATTTTTTTTATATTAATTACTAATGTGAATATATTTTATTATAACAATTCCTTACATTTTGAATTTTATTTTTCTAATAAACAAACTATTGTATATTCATTTAATTTTGAAAATTTAATAATTTTTGATGAATTATCAAAATTTTGTTTCGCAAACCGAAATGAATTACATTTTAAGTGGTACTCTACAGATTTGATAAGACCAATTTGACAAATTCATCATAAATAATTCTGCCTTCATCATCTATCTTCACTTCTTGAAACAGTTCATCCACTTCTTCGTTTGTCAATTTCTCTCCTTGAGTTGTTAGAATGTAACGTAATTCGTTCGCATTAATAAAGCCAGTGCCATAACGATCCAAGATCTTAAATGCATCAAGAATATCTTTCTTGTTGAATGTATCTTTCATATGTTTATTTATCAGATGCAAGAACGTAGAAAAATCAATAGTGTCAATACCACGTTCACTCAGTTCATCTGCAATGGCATTTAGCTCAACTTCTGATGGATTATAACCGAGTGATCGTATCAGGGTACCAAATTCTGTACATGATAACGTACCAGTTCCATCTTTGTCAAACAAGGAGAAAGCCTCTTGCAGTAGTGTAATTTGCTCTGATGATAAGTTATCCATCTTCTAATTTGTATTATAATTCTTAATATTCCAAAAGAATGATTATTGTAGTTTTTGTATTGTTATTTAAGTGTTTGTAAATTATCTGATTCTTGAGAATATTATTTTCGACTTTTTATGAAATGTTTCTTTATGAAACATAGCGAAAATATGATAATGCTTTAAAAAAATAGGAAAATGTTTAGTCAAATAATTCTATATATTAAATTAACTTTTAAAATTTAAAATATTACTTGTTACATCAATTTTTACATTTATATTTTGTAAGTAAGAATTGAATTTATAAAAATTTTGCATGTTAGAAAAAAGAAGGTTTAAAAATTTCTGTCAGATTATATATTCCTTCGTCGTTTTTCCATTACATTTTAAATTTCGATTCCTCAGATAGCCAGATGACCAATCGGTTAAGATGTCAACCTACCGCTCTGAGGAACCCGGAAATGAATTTAAACGAGTCAAAATACACAGGAATTTCTCGAGGAGGTCCGTCCAGATATGTCGCCATCCTTCACCATCCGTTCGCTTCATTGTGAACATGGCCGAATCCATAATGAGTATAATTTTAAAGTTCCTCTTAATGCTCAAGAAGAAGTTAAAAATGATAAAAATATTTAATATGAATTGGTTTGGTTTATTTATATATGGCAACGCGATACCTGGACGATCTGCCGAGGGGGATGCCTCTCAGGAGGACTTTCTATGGAAACAGCTTCCTATTTAGGTGTTACGGCTCTATGTGGCCAGGCTATTGGCGATGCACGAATCAATGACAAACTACTAGTGTTCAGTGGTTTATCCACTTGGCAACTGGTGGACGCATTTAAGATGAAATAAACATTTTAAATATATATGTTTGTTAGTTAGGCTTACTTTATCTTTGAAAAGAAGTAAAACATGTTTAAGAGAAAAAGCAAATTCAGCTCCCGACTTGAATCTTATTATTCCTGATAAAAATACTTCTATATCATTACTCGAGTGAAATGAAATACTGTAACACCAGCAAATCGTAACATCGACAATTTTTATGTGACCAATCCGGAAGTATCAGGACCTGTTTCTCATCAACTCACTACTCATTATGAGCCTACTCCATTACAAACCTTTAAAAGGATTTCTTAATGTCAACAAGACGAAAGAATAAAAAAAAAGAAAGAAAAAGAAATACTCGTACATAAGTATCCGCGAGTCCGCGTTAGATTAAACATTCCTCAAAAATTTTGTGGATGGTTTAATCGGGATTTACTAGTTTAATTTCCTTATTTCCTGGCAGTTTCATTGTGATTCTTATCGAACACTATAATAGGACGGCTGGATGGCCGAGCGATTAAATTATTTAAAAAATGAAAAATAATTATATCATTTGATTTCAAGATTTATTTTATATCTTAAAAATAATTAATTAATTATATCCCGGAAACAGATAATTTTTTCTCGGAATCCCAGGACAAGCAAAAGACCGGAAAATGAGAAACCCTAATACTGTAATAACCTTTTTTCACGAATAACAAAATTAAAATAAAAATATTTGTTATTAACCGAAAAGTTGTTCTAGCTGGTCGTGGTAATTTGATGGAGTACCGAAGTACTGTACTGTACAGTACAGTACGACTGTATTTGATTAACGCGGCAGCATCGAGGGATCAATTAATCGCGTTAAACCAGGAATACCTGTACTATAGTTTGATTGATCAGTTAAGAAGAGGCACTAATGCATCAAAGCCATACGACTGAACAATTATTAATTAATATGCTTATTGACGGCTGGTCTGATCCGTAAAAAGCAGCCATTGTAGATGAAGGATAGGTATATTAATATCTTGACCAAGATACCCAAATTTACGTACTGTATATAATAAATTTTACTGTTTAAGTCATTATGTACGGACCAGATTCGTAATCGGAAATCAATTCAACAAAAATTTAAGACTTCCTAAGTATTTAATAATTTTCTCAAGAATTTCTATAATTTATAGTTTGATAATATCGACGGAATATTCGAGGAGGTTAAGGCATTAGTCTAGCGCTCTGGGAGATCCGAGATCGAACATAGGCAAGCAGAAAAGATCCAGGAATTTTTTGAGCGGTGATAAGTCGGACCATCCCTAACAATGGGGCCGGGCTTGGCCGAACCCATAATGAGCTGAAAAAAATTCCTTTTAGTATCCACAGAAAAAAAGATTAGAAAAAAATTAATAATCAATTAAAATCAGTACAAATTTATACAATAAAAAAATGAAGTACAGTAATTAATTTTATTTTATACATTTCAAATGTATTTACAAAATAACTTTGCGCGTAATTTTTAAAATTCTGTTAAACATAACTGTTTAATTAATTTATATCAATTAAATAGTTATTTCTAATTGTATATAATTATAAAATAATAATTTCATAGCAATTTTTCGACCGAAATTTTTCCATTAAAAATATAATAAATTTTAAAAATAAATATTAAAAATTTAAAGTCACGCTTCCTCAATTATTTTTTTTAAAAATATAAATAAATTACATTTAAAAATATTACAGAAAATTAACTTTATATATATTAATTAAATAATGAATTTGTCATTTTAAAAATTTTTTTGGCGATATTCACATATTCACCAGGAGTAATTTGGCAATTAATTGATGTCGTCTGTTTGTGTTTCCTCTGTAATCTGAAAAGTCTTATTAAAATAAGATTCATTTTATATTGAAAATGTGTGGAAGAACTGCGTGGTAAATTAGTTATTTAAGGAAATAATTTTGTAAATATGATAAAAACTTTACAACTTGATATATACAGTCTTTGGCATTCTTTAATATAAAACTACAGTATGTAAAATGTGGTTAAAGTACTGTATATAAATATAAACATTTTCTATTTCAGCACACTTCAAAAAGAAAGTTTAGTTAAAGCTTGCAAATATAGTACACCTAATGGAGAAAAACAGACACCAGCTTGGAAAGATGTCCATTCTAACATTGAATATAATCCCGGTTATAATATTGCTCCTGGAAGCTATGTGTAAGTTTCATTCAGTATAGTCAATACAAAAGTAGAAAGATAATTAAAAAAACATTAAAATTTCTTCTAATTTGATTCAATAATCCAAATATACAATAATATGTTTTTACAGTAGCTATACAAGCCAATCATTATATTTAATTGATAGTTTTAATAATTTCACCATGTTTTTAATTAAAAATATAAATTTTATATAAAACAAATGTTTTTGAAATTTACTGTTTTTGAAATACAGTATATACTATAGTATAGTACTGTATTGTATGAAAATTACACTTACAAGTTAGAAGTAAATATTTTTGCTTGTTACAATAACAAAAATTTAAGAATTGGTATGAATAATTTGTGTATTTAATATTGAGTTATAAAAAAACAATACAGTTAAAAATACTCAAAATAATTAAACTAATAGATTTCTTTATTGCTAGCTAAATTCTTCATATGTCTTGATCAAATTTAATCTGTAGGATCATGTTTTTTATATATTCATTTTCATTTACGATTAAAATATGTGGTATTAAATAAATATGTTATTGAAAATTTTGACTATAACAATTCAGAATTTTATTTTATGCCAGTATTCTTATATATTTGAAAATTTGATGTCAAATATTGAAGAAATTTGTAATGTAACAGGAGAATTTAAGATAATTATTGACAGAAAAATAGACAGATAATCATGAATATTTAATTGAAATTTTCAAAACTTCTCATTTTGAGATAAAGTAATGTTAAAAAATTATCAGAGTATTTTACTTGTTCAGAAAAGAACAGGAAAATTTAGGCACTTTTTTGCAACTAGATTTCAAACATAATTGTTTGATAAATAGTAATAAAAGATACTTTATTTAAAACCAAATCTATTAATCTGATTGATTAAAAAAGTAAAAAAAAATCCAAAGAAAAAGTCAATTATAAGTCAAATATTTAATATTGGCAAAAAAAAGGAAGGAAAAAGTACTGAAACATACAGAACAGCTTAGATGCAGTGAGTTAATGCCTCTAAAATTATGCAAAAGCAAAAGATTATTAAAAAACACAATTTGTTTTTCTTTAGTCATTTTTACATTTTAAATCAGGGCTACAGAGTCAGAGTCAAAGACAATTCTTGAGTTACTGGAGCTAGAATAAAACTGGATTGACTCTGAACTTTAATACATTATGGTTCTAAGAAGTAGCTTGATGATTCACATTGACAATGACAAAATGCCTTGTATATTGCATGTATTCAATCAATAAAAAAGTATATAATTAGTTTATTTATTATTTATATCCTATTTTGATGTATGAATTAAGGCATTGTATTGATAGTTNTCATTCATCATTCGATTATATTCTGAAAAAAAGCAGAATATTTCCTATTAATTTCGGAAAATTTCTCGCTATATAAATTACGTTGATGAAAATTATTAAATAATATATGTGAACGCTTACGAATAGGTTGGAAAATAAACAGGGGATTTTCCTCTGAATCATCTTTTGTGTTAGCTTCCTGTTCAAATTACCTATTTGGAAGAAGTTACCACGCCCAATTGGAAGATACAAAACTGGATCAAGGTAAATTCGGCGTAACTTCTTTAAATATTAATATTTTGGACTCACTCCCCTCATAAGTTTTTTAAATGAAGAAATTAGAAAATTTGTCACGCGGTAGTTGGACACTTTGATAGAACCTATGTGATAGTTATCATTATCATCAATTCCATTTTTTTCCCCTTCTTCCCTTACCCTCGTTATATGTGATTAATGACCCTACAGAATTCATCCTGTAAAAAGCACTGGGCTACTTAACTTGTTCCTACTGTCAAAACTTATGTGGAAGGTTTAAAAAAATGGCCGCATTCAATTAAAAGTGCTGCCATCTATGTATTAGAGAAGAAATTGAAAGTGTCGTATAAGACGTGACAAGGAACCATCTTTCTGAACAACGCCCACTAACATGAAGGTAAAGGTCCCGGATAGGCGCCCCACCCTCTACAACGCAGCGGTAACAAAATGTGCTAGATGTATTATGGCAACTGCGACCAGGCTAACGGATGAGGGGAAGATCGCTCGCCTGTGTATGCCTTTATCATGTACACAGTCACCATCGAAGCTTTAAGTACACACGATTAGTTCATACAGTATAAGCCTTTGATGTGAATATCCAAGTTAGATTTTGTGAAGGATTGAAAATTGATTTCCCCCCTCAACTATTGTAATGGAAGAGATTGCTTCAACGGAAAACGAGAGTGAGGAAAGAAAGAATAATGATGATACAGAGCCCGGAAATGAGGGGGATGATGATCCTGAACGAGACAGTAACGATGATAAGCGAGTGGAAGTTAAAATCGAGGATGATAACGATGAAGAAAAAGACGAAGATAAAACCGAAGAAGAAAGGAATGAAGATACAGCCGAGGAGGAAAAAGATGAAGATAAAGTGAAGGAAGACGAAGAAGAAGAAAAGGATGAAGACAAAGTCGACGATGATGATGAGGACGACGACGAAGATAAGGAAGAAGCTAAAGATGTTCCTGCATTAAGTTTACTATCGTGTCCGAGGCCTAGTCTGACTGGTGCTGATGACGATGATGATGATGATGGAGACGAAGAACTGGAAGCTTTTCTTCAAAGAAATTTTAGCGAAAGAAGACGAAGTAGATGGGGTCTGAGACGTGGTTCTTCGCCCTTTTTACCGGAAGGTGCTCGAAGACGATTATCATCATTTACAGTATCTTCTGGAGAGTAAGTAGAATTCACTCAATAAAACTTCTTAATAATATATATATATAAATATATTAAACTTCTCAAAATGAACGTAAATAATGTTAATTCTCTTTACATCTAAAATTATTCAAAATGGCTGCAAATTAGAGAGTAATTAAATACTTCAGAAACAACAAAAATTTATAACAGTCGGTAGTCAATTTCTTGTAACTAAATGAATTTAAATTCAATACATTTAAAATATCTAAGCATTAAATCACCTTATACATCACGTTTTATAGTGTTAACGTTATCTATTTATAGAAAACACGAGTAAAATGGCGTCCTGAAAATTAGTATTCTGTGACAATTCTATCTCTAGAGACCTCTTATCTGTTATCATTACGTTTAAAGTAACAGTTAACACTTAATCAACACACTGATTTTTATTTATACTTATGTTAACGATACGAGATTACTACAATGGATGATAACGTTTTATTCTTAAATCGCGTTAAGAGAGGCCCGTGTCATTAACCTTTTTAAGGCCCCCGTACATAAAAACACACAAGTTTTAAAGAAATTATATTTTAACGAAATGAATTTGAAATAATTATTTTTGAGGCCCCCGCGAAGGACCAGTTTTATGTATACTGTGGCCCTTAAAACAAGAGGCCTCTCAATCATTTTTATTGGCCATTAATGCGAGGCCTCTAGGTCGTGACTTATCTAGTTATATGTAAATTTGGTTTTATGAGATATGGTAATGCAATACATAAGGGAGACGTCCCCCGGAGGATTTTCTATGGGAAATTGGCCCTATTTACATGTTACTACATGAAAACCCGGAAAACTCCACGTGGCTAGTGTTTTCTATTAGGCCAGTGGTGAGTCTATACTTAAATATGAAGGCCACGTCAATTGTTTGTTAGCCCCTCTGTGATAGGACCAGTTTGTTGAATAATTCCAAATTTATTATTGATGATTCTAGGGAGAATATTTACAATACTCAATGTCAAAATCTGCATATAAATTAAATAGTCTTTTAAAAAAACAATCTGTAAGAAAAACATCCGCAATCTGATACATCAATAAATAAAAACGTGGAAAAATCCTTGAATTGTCTAAATTGAGAAATTCGTTTCTTGACCTAAATTATGATGTTTTAAAGAAACTAGAATTCTAATAAATGTTTAATGATGAATCCTTATGAATTATGAATGAACGATAAGAAAAAAGAAATCTTTTCTATTCGTTTCCTAGATAAATTTAAATGGAAGGGATAACCATTCTCTCACGATACTCACGATCCTCATTAACTTAACTTACACCTGCCTACTTAATAGTTTGCATGTGTTTTGTTCAGACTTGATACACATTTATTATCAATTTAAATGCAAAAAGAAAAATACCCGACTATCATAAATAATTAATTTTTGCTTCTTTTCCACAATTCCGCGATTGACTAATTGATTTTAATAATAAGCCGCGCGTGAGATTAGAGAGCTAAAACGAGTTTTGCGTGCTTAAACGTGATACTTTACTATAGAAATGAATGTTTTTCTTATTGGAAGTACGCAAAAATTGAACCAATTACGAGCAATTTGTAAGTTTTTCTAGAAACTGATCCGAATTTTTTAAAAACTAGATCCATTAAGCGAGCTCGTAGTTGAAGTTTTAGCGTGCCTTGGCCAAATATCAAAACTTTTCATTTGGACTATTATAGATGATATATTTCGCTAAATGGCATTAATATATTTAACTCGTCTTGACAATTTAGTCGGAAGAGTTGATTATTTCCACAAAATAATATTTATAAGACAGGATAACAAATACATTGATATGATTACATGAGCTACTGCTGTCTTGCTAATGGTATGAATAGGTGGGTGTTCGTACCCCCAACAACGCCCAATAATAGATGAGGAGTTCTTGTATCACCGGGAGTGGAAGTGTCCATTCGACACCCCTACATCAATAATCCAGGGCCAAGGGTGGTAGATGACCACACCCAAGAACCCCCCGTCCTTTTTACCACACCCACATTCACTTGTGTTTCTATTCGATATCAACTTGTTTAGTAAGCCATGACCGCATCACTTCTGGTATTCGATGGTTTATGGAATTTCTCTACATGTGTTTCGATTTTTAAAATTCTCTTTATTAATTTGAACTTATTTAATCGAAATTTTCCACAATAATTTACAGTTAAATTCCAAGAGGTAATTTATAATAAACATTATCAATGAGGAAAGGTGTAGACAATGCAAAAATGAGCATCTATACTAAGTACAGTACAGCTGCACTAATCAATTGTTAAGTATGCAAAAAATGGCATACCTAAGTTCTCTCTCCGATAATTAACGATCTGATGTGTTCAATAGAAAATGAGGTAGCTTCAGTAATAAATTAAGAACATTTTATGGTCAAATAATTTCATTTTTCACACCGAATATGAAGAAGTTCGTCACTACTACCGTCAACGTGTCCAATTTTTATACTCACGCTTTTCATGTTATTTTCTGAATTTAACGGGATTATTAAGCTAAATTTATTGCTAAATATAGATTAAATTATAATTAAGATCTTAATTAAGACGTGTAAACGTAATAGGAAATCCTATTCATAGATGAATAGACCATTTAATATAGTCACGCGAGATAATTTATCGTAATTAGAGCTTAAGAATCTTATCATCAGCAACTTTATTATTCAATTAAGGGAATTATATTAAAATCGGTAGAAATATGAACTTCAGAATTAACATATGAACTTTAAAGTTCTAGAATAAGTCGTTAATATCAACAGTTATATTATTACTTAGTTATCAGGATGTAATTCGCGTTGTAACTGGATAGATTATAATTTAAATGTTATTAATTTCTATACAAAATTCAGAGTGAAACGTCGTTAAATATATTATAAGGTACTCTAATACATATTTAAACCTATATGAATTGTATTCAGCGTTTAATTCCTTAATGGGAAAGTAATATTTTTAATTTTCGGAGTGATGACAACGTTTAATGGACATAACAGGTGCAGTAACGACTTGTCTACAGTTCAAGGCTATCGAATAAATATCGCTAATGACTTTAGCTTGTTTTCGTGATGTAATTATGTCATCTTATTTCCTTGTGCCTTTTTTGACGTTCTCTAGAATGACTGGACGGTTAGAGAGGACATAAAACGCCTTTTCTATGATAAGTATTCTTAAAACGTGGAACAATTCGAATCCTCCCTTTACTTTATGACTACATTAAAGTAATATAGGTTATGCCTTCCATAATCTATTCATTCTGGAGTCTGCTGGTGTTCAAAGAGGTTCGATTCTCTTCGATGAGTTTCTCTTTAATCATGAGATTTCGTGGGTATAGACCCTCTCCGATCTCTAATTAACATCTGTATATTGTTATAGCATTTGTCAGTAGTAAATAAAACTTCTCTGTTATAGCGAAACGGCCATTTCTATAGACGAAGGAGAAGTAACAGAAGAAGAGATTCTCGAAAATATCAGATTACATAAAGAATTAATAGAATCGATTCGATATCAGCCATGGAGAATGAAAAAAAAGTACAAATCATTGAGGTAGGAATTTTATTTATTAATTCACTAATAAATAATATAATTAAAATGACTAATAATACTTTTAATAGACAAGCGAAGACGTATGTGAAGAAACACGAAGGAGAATTGATGCAGAGCAAAAAGTCTGGAGATATCTTCACCAAATATACAATCATTTTATCCAGAGTAAAAAATAAAGATTTCAATCTTTAATTATTGTATCTGATTAAAATTGTGTCTTATTTTTAACGCGATATAACTGTAATAAAATATCCATTAATTTGGTAAAGTTAATTAATTAATTTTCCGGAATAGAGTGAATCGATTTTACTTTCTTCTTTTGATATCAAGTCGTGGATTCAGCTTTAATTTTTAATTTTATTCTTATAAATTTATTAAATTATTAAAAGATTTAATTATTTAAATAGCTTATTACAATTTTTATAAAGCAAAAATAAATTAATCTCGTGATTCTTTTTAGGGTTGGAACAAGTTTAAGAGAGAGGTTGCTAACTTGATAGTTATCCTTACACCATGGGAAATGAGAATAAAAAGAATAGAAAGTAAGTTCATTCGAATTAATTTTCCTTATTTTTATTTATCTAATTTTTAATAAATTTATTATTATTTTTATTAAACGTATCGGTTTTCTTAGGTCAATTCGGTTCGGTTGTTGCATCGTATTTCACTTTTCTTCGTTGGGTGTTTTGGGTCAACTTTTTTATTACTATTTTTGTCTGTTGTTTTCTCATGGTTCCTGAGGTAAGACTCGATCCATATACACTTCATCATTGACCATTACCATCGNGGGCTTCTTTTGAAAATAATTTATTTAATAAGCTTCAAAACTTTTTATGGTACACCTATGTTCTGCTCACGGCACACTGGTTGAAAATCACTGTGTTAGATAACTTCATTTGACCTAATGTTTCTATCAATGGAAGAAAAGATAAAATAATATTTCATTTTTAAGTTATAAATTGTTTGGACTGAAAATTTAGTTTTTTACACTCCAAACAACAATCGGCAATCATTGCAAGTAAACCTTGTAATATTAATATTATTCACCAATATTAGACATGTATGGCAATACTGTTCAATGATTCTATTACTTCAGATGAGCTTTATTGGTAATAAGTATTTAATTTAAACTGTTTTTTGACATTTAAAATGTATTGAAGACAACATTATGATGCAGTATTAAATGAAAAGTTATTGTAAATAAGAAGAATATGAAATAAAGTTGCTGAACATTACTTATTTTATGGCGTTTTTATTATTTTTCTAACTGTTACTTAACAAAATTTTATTAAATTAGTTATTTAGAAACTTTTTCCCTCATAAAAAGAAAGCTCCTAAAATTTGATTTAAAAACTATGATGTATATAATAACGAAGCAATGTGGTAATATTTTTTGTTAAAAATCAGTCTTCAGTTCTCAATTTTTGGTAATATGAATGAAATAAACTTGAATAATTTTAGTTTAGTTAAAAGAAATAACCAAACCATTCTGGTTGTAATGATTTACTTTATTATTTGTATTAGCAGTGATGTATTTTAATTAAGCTTTTAGGATGTTCTACAAGATGCACTATTATCTCATTTTTGTAATAATATAATTATTCTCTGAAATTATCAATATATTTATATAAATCAAATATAATACATAATTAAAACAGTTTGTTCAAAAAACTGTTATTGTTGTTGTTAATAATTTACATATACTCTATATTCTATTAAATATGTATGTAACTTTTCATGTTACAGCCTGCCCAAAACATTTTATCATAATTTTTAAAAATGCAAAGTGTTATGTTATATGAAAAATTCATTTTCACATGAATTTTTTATATAATATAACACTTTGCATTATATATATTTAATATGAATTTTTCATTAGTTTATGTTATATGAAAGTTTGCTACGTTAATCATTATTATACACACACACATATATATATATATATATACATAGGCTGTTTCTTTTTCAAGCTTTGATGGCCCATAAAAAAAAAGACAAGTGTAAATAACAAAATGAATTTGTTACCAAAAGTTAGGTACAAACATGGTTACTTTTCGACATAACACCGTGAAGATTGAGGCATTTGTCATATCTGTGGAAAAGCTTTTCCATCCCCTTGTCATAGAATGTTTCTGCCAGTGAATTGAGATGGCTTTAACATTGTTGTTTTGAAGACCATCATTAGTTCATTAGTCTCAAACTTCTGCCCTGCTAGCCACATTTTCAATTCAGGAAAGAGGTGGAAGTCTTCACACATTAAAAAGTTAAGCTGGGTGGAAGTCTTCATCATCTTTAAACACCCAACATATTGCCCTGATTTAGTGCAGAGTGACTTCCACCTCTTTCCTGAACAGGAAAAGTGGCTAGGAAGGCAGAGGTTCAAGACTAATGACAATCTTCAAAAAAATGTTAGGACCCATCTCAAGTCATTGGCAGCAACATTCTATGACAAGGAGATGGAAAAGCTTGTCCACAGATATGACAAATTCTTCAATCTTCATGGTGATTATCTCGAAAAGTAACTATGTTTGTACCTAACTCTAGTAATAAATTTATTTTGTTATTTACACTTTTCTTTTTTTTATGGACCATTGGAGCTTGAAAAAAAGTCCTTGTGTATATATATATATATATAACTTATAACTTTAATATCTACAGGTTTTATGAATGGAAAAAATTGCCAAATGGAGGCAAACAACCTTATTTCATCTATTCTGTTCAGTCAAATGGATTCAATATGAAGGAAAGGAATTGGACAACTGAGGAAGAAAACAAATGGGCACAAAAAGGATGGTCAGGACCTAATCTTTTAACTATGGCTGGGCTTTTTGATATTTGGAAGTCTGAAGTATCAAGTTTAATTTTAAAAATTATATTATAAAAAAAATTGTGAAACTATAAATAACAGTTTAATTCTTTTTAGACTGGAGAATTGCTATACAGTTACACTGTTATTACTGTTGAGGCATCATCATCATATGCTTATCTACATTCTAGAATGCCAGTAAGAATATTAGAACTTTATTAATGTAAAATAATATTTTATCTAGTTATTTTGACATTCTCTCTCTCTCTCGAAATGCAACTCATAAAATGTGTTTACTAAACTTTCAAATATTGATAGTAGTGTGTACATATAGGTAATTATTTGAAAGTTTACATTATATGTATATTTCATCAAAATTTATCAAAATCTTAATACATTTTAACAAAATTATATGAGAANAGACTGATAGCTTAAGATATTATATATATTAAAAACTTTTTGAATAATTTATGCATTTGTAAAAATTGTAATATCCACAACTGCTGTAAATATCTGTTTGCTATACATTGGATTTTGGTTGGTGTTTATATTTGTATAAAAATTGTAATAACTTTTTCTTCAGTTTTCTGCTAGTTATAGCAGTTCTGGTGAACACCACCTCTTTTTTCATGCTACTCTATCTTGCACTCATGTCTTTAGCTCCTTATAACTATCCTCTCTTCAATCATCCACTATTTTGATTCTCCTCCTCTCTTGTTTCTTTCTGCCTACAATCATTTCTTCCATTATGTCATTCCGTAAGCCTTCCTCTCGAATCATGTGTCCTGTAATAACTATTTGTTTCCATCTGTTAATAAATTTAATAATTAAATAATTCAAAGTAATTCTGTAATCAGCCCACCAGTGGCCAAGCAATTCTGTTCCCTGAACATTGGGAGTTTGATCTTGGGTTTGCATCTTGCCAGGACAGGCTGGCCACATGGAGTTTTTCAGGTTTTCTCCACATCTGTAATGCCTGAATAGGGGCCAATTACTCTTAAAAAGACCTCTCGGAAGGCATTCCCCCTAGACAGATCATCCAAGTGTTGTGTTGCCGTAACTTAACTAAACAAACAAACAAAACAATTCTGTAATGATAACTTATTTGTATGCAAAATTCAAAATCTGCTGCTGTTAAAATTTTATTCAATTTTCTGTAAATAAATAAAAACATTAACATTTTATTGCTACAATGATGATCTTTAACCTTAAAATTGCTAAACTGTTACCATTGTGAAAGAATTAAAATATTATAAATTTCAAAATAAAATAAATGTTTCTCACTATCTGAAAACTGAAAAAATTTCATAACAAACTAAAATTCAGTAATATTGGTAATTAATGTAATTAATTTTTAAAATCTTAAAATAATGGCATTTTAATTGTGGTTATAGTTGAAGAAGTTTGACGATTTGAAAATTAAAGATAATTATCATTAAATGTATTTACAAAATTTGCCTTAAGATAAGCACTAACTTTTTCATTTCCGTTAAATTTTTATTTCTTATATATTTAATGACAAACGTAGGATTAGTTTCTGAACAGTTTTTACTTATAATAAAGCACAAATTTATGTGGAATTTTATGTGTTACCTGTTGACATAAACACTTTGTAAAACAAGATCACACTATATTTTATAACAAAAGTATATTGAATTTTATAAATTTTATCATTAATACTTTACTGATTGATGTCTTTATTTTTTAGTATATATTTATTAATTAGTAATGTAGATAACTAATGAGAGTATCTTGTGACTTAAGAATTGATGCACACTATAATTATTTGAGGTGTAACTTTGCACAGCAAATCTTAACCACATTTTTGAAATTCTCTTATCTCTTATCTCCTGAATTACAGAACTGCAAATCACATTGAAAAGACTTAATTTATATGAGAATGCTACTGTTTTCAAAAGTCAATAATCTAGTTCAAAGAAGCCTATAACTAAATTTTTGTATTGTGCATGTTCAGGGAATCTCTAACAATTTGTTTTCTATTAATTAATATGCATCTATGTCCTTAATTTAATCAAAATTATTCATTTAATCACTATATCAGTGTATTTCTATTAATAGGACTTATCATACTGGTGTACAAGCTTGCAGACTCACAGTTACAGTGTGAAAGTGAAGAACAACGAAAAGAAATGAATAATTTAAAATTAATATTAATCGTTATTGGAATAAGTTATTGGAGAATAAATGGAATAGAAAGAAACGGCAACAACAAAATAAATTTGTTTATTGAATACCTGCTGAGGAGGGACATACAAGTCTGAAACGCAAATTGTATGTGTCCAGGTAATTGAAAATAAAACAATTTTAATCCGTGTAACTGTGAGTCTGCAATCTTGTACACCAGTATGATAAGTCCTATTAATAGAAATACACTGATATAGTGATTAAATGAATAATTTTAATTTGTTTTCTAGTTTTACTCTAAATCGATGGTGCAAAAACATTTTGACTGGTAGGCTAAATTGTCACAAGTTGTGAGTATATGGACTACAAACCTTTTGTATATTTCCTTATACAAAAGGTAGGCATAATTTTTATCATTTATAATCATGTGGATCTGATTAACATGTTTCATAAGCCATATTTGGTCTAAGGGCCGCAGTTTTGGCACCATTGTTCTAAGTCATTGATATTAATGATAACTTATATGTAGCTTCATATTTTCTGAATGAAATGAACTTATTTTAATTTAATTTTTAATATTTTGTAGTTCTTTAATTTTTTTATTTTAAATTTATATTTCTTTATTACATTTTGCAGACCTGTATTAATTCAAAGTTCTCATTTGGAAGATTTTTCTGAGAATATAAGGACTTTATGTCCTATGAGATGGGGTTTAATACCATCATGGTATAAAGGTGAAAACAAAAATTTTAAATTTAAAACTACCAATTGTCAAGCAGAAAATATAGAAAATAAACCATCTTATCGAAATTCATTGGCAAAAGGAAGAAGATGCATTGTTTTAGCTGATGGGTAAACTTTGATTTAGAAATTTTTTTTCTTTTCTAAATTTTGTTCTTTTATCTTGTATCATGTATTATTAACATTAAATAATATACAATATTAATATTTATTATCATATAAATTCTTAAAATATATTAAAAATGTAGAAATTACTAATATAATATTGATTTTTTGTTAAATATGAGAGTTAGTTCAATTAGATAATTTATGCTCTTTTCTGATATTTCTGATATAAAACTAAGTTCTTAATAGTGAAAAATTTATACCAACAGCAAAGGCATCTGCAGGATTTTATCTTTGAAGCAAACATATATAATTTATGTGTTTGGTTAGCACAATGTTGCTGTTGAGAATGTATCATACAGGAACACTTTAAGAGGAAAAAGGTTGCTTTATTGACTTGGCAACCTTTTTCCTCTTAAAGTGTTCCTGTATGATACGTTCTCAACAGCAACATTGTGCTAACCAAACACATATAATAGAGAACAACAAGCAACCTTGATTCATATATAATTTAAATCAACTAACCAACCAATTGATTTGTAAAAATTATTTTCCTTAAACGGGTTTGTCTATTTATACTATCTTCATGACTATGAATTATAAACACACACATAAGACAAGCAAAAAACTAAAACTATGTTAAAAAGATAATGAGTCTTCCAAATACAGTAAAACTTCTCTAACTCAAACGTCTTTATTTCTTTAACTTGAAGAAAATGAAGCACTTGGTGGGTCTCAATGGAACAGCATAGGGATTTAACATCTCTAGCTTGAATTTCTTAAACTGAATCTTCTTCAAGTCAAAGTTTTTCATGGTTCTCCTGACACTGATTTATGTTACTTTCAACTTCCCCAACTCGAATTTTAATATTTATTCTAGCCAAAGTTATCTTAATTATTGGATTTCCATGAAATTTTCAGACAGTTAGTTGCATCTACAGTCCAATACCAATTTTCAAACAACATTCCACTCCAGAGTTAGAGGTCCTCTCACTTTATCTCAACAGATGTGCCTGCAGAATTCTTCAATTTCATTAGTTACATTGAATATTTGGCTGAAAGGCATTACGTGGGCTGTTTAAAAAAGATTCTTTATGTAATGCAAGAGAGGTAAAAATACAAATCTATTAAGAATTGGCAGTTTTTACTCTATTGTTCTCTAGCTCAAATTGTCTGTAACTCAAATTTTACAATTTTCTTGCTTCTTGGAGCTTTGAGTTAGAGAAGTTTTACCAAGGTGTGCCGTCCATGAAAGCTGTGGAAGTGCTGCTTCCCTTGTATTTTCTAAAATATAAATACATATTGTGAAATTATTTTCATATTTTAACATATATTAATTTTAATTAATTCAAAGTTTTATTACAACTGCATTATGTATCTTATTACAAATTTCTATACTACATGTGAAAAAAAAATAAAAAGATTACTATTGTATATTTGAATACAAATTTGTATATGCATATTCCCAATGGAAGTGCTTTATTGTCTAATATGAGATAGCTTCCATGTTGAAAATATTTGAATGGTGTAAAGTGCCAGATTATACACATTTGCGCATACACTTTACAGACCTCTTGCAGTTTAGCTGGTGGATGCTATACACCAGTGTTTCTCAACCTCTAACGAATTGTTGTCCCCCTTCAACGTAGTATCGCCCCCTTCAATAAAACCGTTACATAGTATCGCCCCTTCACTTCAAAATTCCGATGACGAGGGCCAAGGCTAACACCAGATTCATACTGCATTGAATAGACTGGTGAATAGTATAATGTTATTTGTTTAATTATTGTACGATATAACGAATAAAATAGCTACTTATTTTTAATATAATGTTTTATTTACTATATCTCCCAGAAAATTTTTTCGCCCCCAAAATATAAATTGTTACTAATTGCCTCCTCAACATGGAAAAACGCCCACTCGGGGGCAATATCGCCCCCGTTGAGAAACACTGCTATACACCAAAATATCATATAATGCTTCCAATAATTCTATTGATGATAGGAAAGCTGGCATAGCTTCCCTATCATCAAATGTCACTGCACACCACTGTGTTTTACTGTAATATAACTCCTGCATTTAAAACTTAAAGGGACATTTTATCACAGTCAGACTAGTTACTTTGGTATAACAATTATTAAAATAAACTTACTCTTATAAGGAAAGAAAGAAAAATTTCAGGTGAGATAATTTATCCTCTCATGGTCCCACTGTGGGTGCCCTTGGCCAACTATAGGACTTTTCTGAGAACAGTTTTTTGTTTTTTTTTTCTTTTTGAAAACTTGTATGTTAGTTATAATTAAAACTTAAAAGGTTTTCAATGTTTAGAAACTACAAGCATATATCATATCTGAAAATAATTTGTCATATTCTTTTAAAGCAGAGATGCACAGCATACTGTCTGCAGTTTGCATGAAGTCCACTAAATGTTTCAATGGCCTATAATCTGATTTTGATAAAAATATTATTATATTAATAGGCCTACCTGATATTTGAAAGCACATCGGCATTATTTTAATTTAAATGTGTATAATAATGTATTTATTAATATATAGATTTAAATTAAAATAATGCTAAGGCACTTATGAATTTAGATTTGTATTGTTGGGTTTATGTAAAAATATTTATTTATTTAATGTCCATTTGAATACATTTTAGATATTAAACTGCAATCTGTTTAAAAATAATGTAACCTAATATAATATAATATCTAAGTTATGCATACCTATTTAAAAATATATTTAAATATAATGATTAAATTTAAAAATTTAGCATTAATAAAACTAGTAAATAGACAGGATTAGAATTACTTTTAAAAAAGTTGTGAACATTTTTTAAAACTTTCTTATAAGAAATTAACAGAAGAAAACACAGGGCTTTTTCATTATTTTTATCCTTTATCCATTTCATACTTCAGGAATGAAGTATGAAATGGATAAAGACAGTTTTTAAGGTCTTATGACAGTTTTTATTGTAGACTTATCTACTTCAATGTGTAAAATAAATTTTGTCAGCAATGGCTAAAATCATAAATGTGTATAAATTAACATTAATAAAACTAGTAAGAATTAGTAAGACAGTTTGTTTCTGAGGTGTGATAAGGACAAAGGGTGAAGAAAAATGAAGAAGCCATGTGTTTTCTTCTGTTAATTTCTTATGAAAATATGAAAAAAATTTTTTGTGAATTTTTTAAAAATAAAATATTTATTACTGTATACAAATGTCAAGATTATATCATCATATAATTGTTGTTATATCCCCAAGTTAAAGTTATAAAAGAAATAATTTGAAGATTTTAATTTTTTCAAACAATTACTGTTGTATATGTTTTCATATGCAATTATATACTGTACTAACAGATGAACCTGGTGTTGCTCGGGCAAAAAGTAACAATAGCAAAGATTAAGATTATTAGATTATAGCTGATCTTACCCATTTTCACCAGGTGCAAGAATTAGGTCTCCCTCTTCAGAAAATAATTAGAGTTTTTGTCATATTCTTTACGAGAGTTTATTCTTTATGCTTTGCCAATTTGAGAATTTTTACATTGTCTAAAAGTATGTTTGATTTTATGCAAAAATGCAAAAACTGCATCTAAAATAGTACAGTAAAGCAGAGTTCTATAAAATAATCCTTAACCCTCTCCCTCTCCTGCACGGGAATAATTTCCAAAAATCCCTTTTTGTGTGCATTCTTGTGGCATACCCTACTAAAACACAGTTAAAAACAAAAAGTTGCATCTAAAATAGTACATTAGAAGCCGTTCTTCAGGTTAAGCCTTAATCCCCCTGTGGGGGAATTTCCAAAAATCCCTTCTTAGTGTACATTCTTGTGATGTACCCTAACTGTGTACCAAATTTCCACTTTCAACTCCTAACCATTTGGGCTCTGTGATTATTATTATTATTATTATCAACCCATCTTGATTATATTATAAGATTTAAAATGTTTTATATTATAAAACATCATATTTGTATTTTGATTTTTTTTAAACTGTTTAATTGACATTTAGTTTTTATAAAATTAAAACGAATTTACCTGATTCTGTTATATTTAGAAAAAATACTTAAATTATTTAGATTTTACTATTTGATACCATTGATGAAGTGCAATGATAAGAATTTATAGTAAGAACTTTAAATAATATAATAAAGCATTCAAATTAAATAGTTTTCACAAACAAGAAGTAAAACACTACTATGCATATGTAGCTAGAACTATTTCTAAGATTATCAGCACAAAACCTTTCTCACTAATTTCTAGCCTTATTAACTGGAAGGCCTATTAAGAAGGCCGAAAACGTTTGTACTCCAGTTAATAAGGCTAGAAATTAGTGAGAAAGGTTTTGTGCTGATAATCTAAGAGATAAATCNTAAATTTATTAAATTATTAAAAGATTTAATTATTTAAATAGCTTATTATAATTTTTATAAAGCAAAAATAAATTAATCTCGTGATTCTTTTTAGGGTTGGAACAAGTTTAAGAGAGAGGTTGCTAACTTGATAGTTATCCTTACACCATGGGAAATGAGAATAAAAAGAATAGAAAGTAAGTTCATTCGAATTAATTTTCCTTATTTTTATTTATCTAATTTTTAATAAATTTATTATTATTTTTATTAAACGTATCGGTTTTCTTAGGTCAATTCGGTTCGGTTGTTGCATCGTATTTCACTTTTCTTCGTTGGGTGTTTTGGGTCAACTTTTTTATCACTATTTTTGTCTGTTGTTTTCTCATGGTTCCTGAGGTAAGACTCGATCCATATACACTTCATCATTGACCATTACCATCGAATCGGGTAATAGTAGTTATAATTTTAGATCCTAAGAGGTTTTAATGACGAAACGGGTATGCGAAAAATCGCTAAAGATGACGAAATGGAAAACGAACCTAATTTAAATTCAGTGTGGAATTTTGAAGTAAGTTTCCATTAAAATATTAAGAAATTATCCAATTTCGCTTTTAATTCTATGATATTTACAGGGTTATTTAAAATACTCTCCGATTTTCTACGGGTATTATGGAAATCAAGAAATGACTGACGAGGGATATAGATTGCCATTAGCATACTTCCTAACGTCCCTTTGTGTTTACATCTTCAGCTTTTTTGTCATTCTCAGGAAGTAAGTGAACAGAAGAATCATTTTTGCGGATTTTAAGATAATTTATATATTAATTATTTGTTTTAGAATGGCAGAAAATGCCCGCATGAGTAAGTTATCGGAGAAGGAAGACGAATGTACATTTGCTTGGAAGTTGTTTACTGGTTGGGATTATATGATCGGAAATGCTGAAACGGCTTATAACAAAACAGCGTCACTAGTTATGGGATTCAAAGTAAGTATTTAGATAAATAGATTAAATAAATTAAAATTTAAAAGCTTAAATATTCACTCTACGCAGGAATCAATTTTAGAAGAAAAGGAAAAGAAAAAACAAGATAAAAAGTGAGTTTTCCTCATCAAAATTTCAGTTTCATTTCATCATTTTTCATGATTTTTCCTCTTTTTTCAGCTGGAAGCTGGTAACATTTCGAGTTATTGCGAATTTTCTTGTATTAATTTTGTTAACATCCAGTGCCTATGCAATAGTTTTAGTAGTAGAAAGATCCGAACAACCAGAAGCCAAAGAAGGGAACTGGTGGAGGGAACACGAAGTACGTACAGAGATTTTATATATTTGCTATAAAAATTATGCAAAGATTTTTCTCGTGTTTTCTAAAAGCGAGACTCCTTTTAGCTTCAAGTAGTTGTAAGCGGTATATCCATTATTTTTCCAAATTTGTTTGAGATGATAGGAATTATTGAAAAGTATCATCCTCGTGTTCAACTCCGTTGGCAATTAGCCAGGTAGGAACTGCAAGAGTTACACAAAAGTAAAATATTGGGCGGAGCATTTACTAATATATTATAATTAATGTTCTTATAATTTCAGAATTCTAATACTCAATCTTCTAAATTTATATACGTTAATTTTTTCACTTTTCAATCGTGTTATAGGAATGGTGAGTTCGCAACTATGAATTTCATTGAATTTACTTTGTAAATAAAATGATATATAAACATAATATTGCCATTAAATTCGCAGATAAAAATATTAAACGAACTAAAATCAAATGTCACACTAACCATGGAAACAATGGATGAAAAAAAAGCAATTATTGTTAATAGTACTACTTTTTATCAAGAGCCTCCTCTCGAGAGCCGTAACTTAGTGTTAAACCATTACGAACCAAGCCATTACGTTCAAGATCAACAGAGTACAGATTTTCAAAATTGTACCTTGCGTATCATCCAAAACTGTACTTTAGCACTACTTAACAAAATACAAACAACAACATGGTTTACCGTCAACGCTACGGATTTATACGACGCTTTTAATAATACATTTCCATACGGATTTGATACTACAACTTATTCTTATAACGCTACTGATGATAACTCCAACTATAAATCTATGGTTTTGAATATTGTTAACTTAACTTCACTCGGTAACTGGAGTTATTCAGCAGATACCAATATAGGATTTCAACCTATCTACATAGAAAACAATTCTAATCCGTTCGAGATGGGTGATAGTTTTTGGAAATTGCCAATTAACACTAGTCATCTAGGTTTAGATGACGAAAACTTTACGGAAACCGTGAAGAATATATTTGATGAACCTTCCACTTCTACTAAATTATCCATGGATGATGTTGCTACGTGGTTGCTGAATTCTACTATGTGGAACGGGACAGAAGAATCACTCATGACTACGGAAGGGGGAGATCCCGATAACTGTACAGTATTTTTACGAATTTGTCCAACTTCCAGCGATACGCTCTCTCCGGATTTTAATTTTACTTTTATTAATTATACAACTTTACAACCGAACGTGTCTGAATGGATAGAAGTGGATGGGAATGCCACCGATTTGGATAACGCGACATTAACGACTCTCGAGACCACCGAAAGTCCCCATATTGTTTCAACTATGTTGTCACCCTGTAAAAAGTGCACCGATACCAAAGCATCGAAGCGAGACGATATCCCATCTTTTGAATCTGTAAGGAAAATGTCTGACGAATTCAAAGAAGAATTAAAAAAGAATTGCTGGGAGACGATGTTTGGTCAGGTATTTATTAATTTAAATTATATATTAAAATATGATAGCCTTAATAAATAATATTAATTAACAGGAATTGGTTAAATTAACTGTTTCTGATCTGGTGATGACAATTGTGAGTACTTTAGTAACCGACTTTATCCGTGCTGTTTTTGTACGCTATGCTAATCAATGTTGGTGTTGGGATCTGGAAAAGGGATTTGTATGTTGATATTACAATTTAACCCATAATAAAATCATTTCAGAATATTTTTCTTAATATTAATTAATTCGTTTACAGCCGGGTTATGGAGACTTTAAAATTGCTGAAAATATTTTACATCTTGTAAATAATCAAGGATTAATCTGGTAATTATAAAATTTATAATAATATTAATGGTAGTTAGTTTTTATTATTTTTAAATACTGTTATATTCTACAGGATGGGCATGTTTTTCTCACCGGGTCTTCCAGCTATCAATACAGTCAAATTATGTATCTTGGTTTATTTTCGTTGTTGGGTTGTCCTCACTTGCAATATTCCCCACGAAACTGTGTTTAAAGCTTCACGTTCTAACAATTTTTATTTTGCTCTTTTACTGATTATGCTCTTCCTCTGTACTTTGCCTGTGGGATTTGCTGTTGTGTGGTTAGATCCTTCGTGGCATTGTGGACCTTTCAGGTTAATATTTTAATAAATTTAATTAATTTAACTTTATTCTATACTTAAATCTTTACTTCATACAGTGATTACTATCGAATTTATGGAGTTTTCACTACTTATTTGGAATCAGTATTCCCAAGTTGGCTAAACAAAATTATGGAATATGTTACTTCTCCGGGTGTTGTTATACCTCTTTTACTGCTTCTTGTGTAAGTTTGTAATAGTTAATTTTATGATTAGCCTTTTTATTTGTATTCCTAACGTAATAATATTGCTTTTTCGTAGATTATGCATCTATTATCTACTTTCTTTGACGGGATCTCTTCGTGAAGCGAATAATGATCTTAAATTACAACTTAGAAGAGTAAGTAGAGAATTTTCTCCATTTAAATAAAAAACCTTTCTATCGTTTTAAAAAATAAAAATATTTATGTTAATTCTAGGAAAAATCTAATGAAAAGGGGGCTAAATCGGAAGAAGAGGCTAAAAGTAATTATTTGTCATATTTTTTAAGCTAATTATTTAAATAAGTGTTCAATAAAATTTTAATATTTTTAAAGAGGAAGAGGGGCAGGACCCAACGAAATGGTCATCTGCTAAGAAAATATTGCCTGTTCTGCCAAATAAATTCCGTTCAACTAGCAATATACCTGGGGAAGACGATGAAGAAGATGAAGATGATGATAAACAAACAGGTTTAAAGTGAATTGAACTTCTAAATTAAAATGTTGAAAATAAAATGTTTCATTAATGTCGAATTTAAATTTTTAAAAATAATAAAGTTCGAGTTAGTGAAGATGAATTGATTTTTCGCGTGCACATAATCAGTTACTGCCATGCAATATGCAAATTCGTATTGTATATAAATTATAATTCAGTGAAGGACAGTATATTAGAAACAGAAAGCATAGAATTTAGAGTTGCAAAGTTATTTAAGCTGTTATAATAAAAATAAGGAATTGATTAGATTCGTTGATGGTTAAGAGCTAACCAACAGATTTAATTAATATGAATTACTATTTTGAACCATTTTAAACTACAGATGAACCTCCAATAACTACTACTTTTATCTTTTTATGTTTTTATCAGTACCCGTTGTATGACTGTCATTAATTTATGTTTTATAAATTATATAAATAATTAATTATCTTTAGTATGTTATGTTTTTCAAGATACATATAGCCTATATATATAATAATCACGATAAAAACATTTGTATTTTTTATTTCTATTATAATGTAACCTCTCGGAGGATGCTATGTCTTTATTTACACCAGTTCTTAAATAAGATTGGTAGGAAACCTTAAACATAAAAACAAAATATCTGCAAAATATTTCTTCGATAAATTTAAAAATAATAAATGTATTGATATATAGTATTAACTATTTTAATATTTGATTTCTCTCCTTTAGATTCAAGAAGTAGAAGAGTTCAATATTCAGAAGACGAGCAAACTGAAGAACCAAATGAAATTCAAACAGATTCTCAAAGTTCCGAAAATCATAAGAAATCTATTCCACAAACAAAAAAAAGGTACGTTGAATATTTCTTAATTAAGTTAATTTAAAAATTTTTACGTGTTAACTTTATACGTGTTCAGGACACCAAAGCCATTACCAAAATCAGTTGAGAATCTTAGAAGAGAAGAAAGCGAAGAAAAGAAACGGAAATCGAGTCGTGGTGCCTCGGGTTCTATAGGAAGCGGAGAAGTACCAGTTATAACAATCAGCCAACCATCAGAAAGTGGTCTATCGAACAAAAAATCTCAAGGTTAGATTATTATTGTATTTATATATATAATTTTATAGATTTTTATGACATATTTTTCCCCTAGAATCTTTAAATAGTCTGGATAAGAAAGCGACACCACGACATGGCAAATTGATTAAAAAACACTCGGAACCCGTTACTTTAACACCTTCTCGAGGTAAAAAAGGAAAGAAAAGAAAAGGTGTTAGTTTAGATGAAACGGTTTCCGAATCTGATCTCGGAAACAGCACCGAAAGTAAAACCGATGATACCGAAAATTCTGATCCTGAAGGGAGTGTGCTCAATAATCAATCAGGCCAACTAAAACGCGATCGTCGTAAGACTGAACTTAATCGTTCTCAGAGTAGCAGATCACACAGTAGTTCACTAGATACTCCTCCTCTAATAGAAGAAGAGGAAGACGAAGAAAATAATAAAGGTACCCTTCCTCTTGCCGCAAGCAAAGCCAAGTTGCAGAGACAACAGGCAGACTCTGATAGTTTAGAATGCTCTGCGAAACCTGTTTGCTTGGATATCGAATCCGGTTCTTCCAATGGTGCCAAGGAAGCCGAACAACCCAGAGAGGAAGAAAAGTGAATAATACCACTAATTGATTTGCAATTATATTTAATTAAATAGCCAACTAAATTCATTTTGTTTTTTATTAGGAAAGCTAAAATTCAAAGATTAAGTACTGACTCGCTTTGATGGTGCAAACTGGTATGTTTAATTATTTTGTGATCGTTGATTGTACCATTTAATATATGTAAAACTTCTGTTTTGTTTTATTCAGATTTATGATCTGGACTTATCAGTTCGTTCTTCATTATCCGTTATTAATGAGATCATCTGATTTTACTCAGATGTCTTCTCGTTAACAATAGATATTTATTGTTGTCCATCATCCATTACTCCGAAGATCAACAGGAAAACCTTCAAATTACAGCTTTTTTAAAAAAAAAATTCAGTAGATTTTTCCCTCATCTCTCCTATAAAAAAATGCAGAAAAAAATACCAGAAAAGAAAGCCGAAAATGTTGGACAATTTGATTGATTATCATTTCGTATTTTACGATTTGAACAATTTACAAGAACAAAAGAATCTTTTATGTAGATAATTAGAAAAATGAAAATTTTATTATATACAAATAAAAATATCTGTTTTAGTTTTTTTAATAATTAATAATTATTAATAATATCAATAAAATATATTTAAACTTGTTGGATCGATTTGTAATCATGTTTAAATACAATTTTATCTCCTATATTATTATTATTATTATTGAAACAATTTTAAAGTTAAAAAATATATATCTTATATTGTTGTAATATAAATTCTGAAATAAATTCTCGTTGAAAGTCACAAGAACAATCAGAATTTATCTCAGTGAACGTTCTTATATTAAAGTTAAAGCATATTTTAAGCCGTCAAATTTTCATACTTTCCTAGAAAATATTTAAAAATTTCTTCACTAAATTTAATAATTAATTTAATATTATACTCAATGCATCATATATAATATACAGTACTACATCTTCTATACATTACATTGAATATAAATATCTCCATAAATGGAAATTTTATACACAAATTCAACATGAAATATTAAGAATAAATATTTTTCATAGCAAATATTTACTATTTCTATTAGCATTTTCCGTTTTATGGTAAAATATTTTATAAAATTCTTAGAATTTGAAATTATTTAATGTGACATTTTACTCGTACATTATCAAACTTATGAAAAAATTTATAAATATTTTCGTATATAAATTACATATTTCTATATTTATTTAATAAATTATTGTTTATTTCCTCGTTTAATATTGTCAATAGATAAAACTTTTGACAATATTAATTTTTTTGACCATGGAAGTTACAAAATTTGGCAATCATCCTCGATCAATACCCAGTTACGATGTATGTAAACTATATAAAATAATAAAGCATTACAATATAATTTATAGATTACTGGAAATTGTGGTGTTTCGCGGCTTCTTCTCGATGCTTGCTTCATATTTATTTAAGTTATAATAAGTTTTATGTATGTAAAAACTTTGTCAGTGAGATCAATGTAGTTTTAAATGCTAGATTCTATATTTCTAGAGTAATTTTCTAAACTAACTTTATTTAAATTTAATTAAAATCTACCAGCATTAAAGATTATATCAATAATTAATATAACACTTACTTTTTTGTCAATGTATATTTGAACCTTTTCGTTTTTGAAAACAGTTGTTAGAAGTCTACATTTTCAAATATACAGTCGAATTTGCATAAGTCGTCATAGGTATAACTAGAAACCGTCGGTTAAGTAATCAGTTTTCTGTGGTCCCGGTCGACTTACATATATAGGCAATAATGTTAAAGAAAACTCTGGTTTACTCGACGCTGTTTAACTGCTCACCACTGGATAAATCGACATACTTTTTCTGTCCCACACGTGTTTAGACGTCTGATAAGTCGACTCCCCTCCTGAAAAAAATGAGTTCACACCACAAGTGTAGCTTAATGTCACAGTAGAATCCGATTTTGCATTTTCTCACCTTTCATTCATGAGTTATTTGCAGCGAGTGTTTCACATTTCTGTTAGAAATGATTATCTGAAACCTAACAACGCTTAAGCTGAAGGAAAAATACGAAATATCTGAATTTGAATGTAATAAAACTTCGCAAGCCGAATTTGCAAAACAAGAAAACCTTCCAAGAACAACATTGGTGGGAATTATGAAGAAAAAAGAGGAAATTAAGAAACTTTTTCTTGGGTCTTCATTGCGGCTGTCTCGAAAACGCCAAAGAAAGTCGCCGTACAAAGATATGGAATACGCTAGCTAAGATATGGTTCGTTAGCTAAAGCAAATTCGTTCGTCGAATCTTCCTGTTTCGGAGCCGATACTTAAACAAAAAGCGATGGAAATCGCTAAGGTACTTGGATTAGAAACAAACTTTAGTGCCAGTGATGGATGGTCAGAAAGATAAATTGCATATGCTGTATAAAGTACTATTGTATTTTCCTAATTGTAGTTTTGTGGTTTTCTTCAACTTTGGACACATTTCCACTTCTCCGTGAGGTGTCGACTTATGCAGACTCGACTATATATCTCTTTGATAGCTGCAAATGTTTATATTTATGTGATTATGGCAAGTCGGACGGTCGTCCATAATTACATAAATACACAAAACTGTTATTCTATTGGGAACGACCATCCGTCCAGACCTAGGTTGCCAACCTTCTGATGAAAATCCATTGGCGCGTTATAGCTTCATGGGACTGAGGCACATTTGAATTAGTACAATGTACTGTACAATGTTGAATGTACAATGGACTTCATACAGTTTTCATCGGGGAAATTTTTTGAGAGATTGGAGATTAGTTTGGGCCTCTTGTTGATGGAGGCCCAGACAATTGCCTTTTATGCCCTTAGAATAATGTGTCACTTTGAAAACACCCTAAACATACCTGAAATTTCCACGAATACTAAGAGTTTTCCCTAGAAACTGAAACAAAATCCCCTAAATAGCTTTGTTCCGGATGCAATGCATATCGAAAAAATGTTAATTTTGACTTTTGACAATCCAGAGAAACGCAAATGTTCACTTTGTGGCCAGGCGGCGCTGGCACAATTGAGCAAAAGCATCGTGTGATGAAGCGCTGGGATCGAATCCTTACAGGTCGAAAAACCCCAGGAATTTTTCGGGGGATGGTCTGTCCAGATATGTTAGGCTCCGTTCCTCACCGTCTAGCCGCCCCATTGCGCGCCTGGCCGAACCCCTTACGGACTTGCTAAAAAAAAGGATCTCTTAGTGCCCACGAGGCGAAAAGAGTTACGGAAAGTATATTTTGTACTGCAAATAGTAAAATTAACTTATTTATAAGCCATTATATTTTATCTAATTTATTAAAAATATTGGCAGTATCATTAAAGGATACAAATTAAGTATGACACCAGTGCGCAACTTGATTTTCAATCTATTTGGAGATAGAGCCTTTTGCCTTAGTATAACAGATTTATTTATTTATTGCAATCAAAATGGAAAATATATATATAAGCACAGACTGTTAGAAATATATATAAAAGCACAGGATATTTCAGGTAAGTTGTTACAAATCAATAACTGAAATTGTACATCTCGTTGCACGGTCTGATCATTACAATCCATAAAGTCCCAAACACATAAGGAGGCGTATATTTCGTTGAAAAAGATATAGGTATCGCACGCCCGAAACAACTTTTTCTGCACGAATTCACTTTCATGGCGTTAATTTTAAATATTTGAAGCCGTGCCTTTCTAAATTTTGAAGGAATTCCAACAAAGATTTCATCATAAAAGTAAAATTTCATAAATTTCTTGTAAACTTATAAATTCCCACTGTCGTCCGTCTGTCGGTCCTTCCTTAATTTCGAGAATGGAGTTAGATAAATGAAAGACGAGATCAGACCAGATATGGAAACCTTAGTGTAGGAGATCCCGATTAACTATATACAAATTTCCGATGCAAACCTGAAGTCACGTTATTTCAATTTAAAATTCTACCCCTGAAAGCAGTTAATAAGTGACCGACACGACTCTACTGTCAAAGGAGAAGTATGATGTACAGGAGCAAGCCATTATTAATTTGAGTCAAAGAACATATATGTTAAATTAAATAAATTAAACATATGATTAAAAATTGCCTACCGGCATTGTGACAATGTTACAATAAAGAATTGCTCGTTTTTTTTTTTATTATTATATTTAATTTTGGAAAACATCTTTCTTTCATTGAAGCTAGTAATGGAAAAAAGGTTTGAAATTACAGGTAATATTAAACCGATTATTTCAGATTATCTGAATGAATACAGTACTTGTAAATCTTAACATGTCGAATAAATTTTTAAAGCTAGTAAACTTTGAATATATTCAATTCGTTCAGTAGATACCTTATCAGTTAGATATACAGTAGAACCTCTATTATCCGGACCTCCATTATCCGGATTTTCGATTATCCGGATTGTTCAAAATAAAATTTTTACGAATTTGCTGATTTGCACTTGGCGAATTACGACACTGTTTATGTACGTGATGGAATGCATAACATTTTTTGTTTCAACAACGTCTCACCCGGCACAGTGGTCGTAAACTCTTAAATATATTTTGCGTCGTAATAAAAATATAACTTGACATACGTATTTATNTAGAATGTTGTTTATTTTATTTTATTATTTTAAGATGACCTCAAAGTATTCAATATGATTCTTTAATTGTTTATATCTTCTATCGATTGATAGATATGTCTAAAACAATATTGTAAATATAAATCTATGCATTACGCATAGATTCGTATTATTTTGTGGTCACTCATTACTTCTTGAACGCTAGTATATTTGAAGCCTTAATCAACTGCTACTGTATCTTGCTGTTTGCGTAAATTTTTAAGAACCTCACCTGTATGCAAAAATCTAATAAATTTTCATATATTTTTAATGCAATGTCAATATTTTAATCCATGCTTAGGAGCATATTATTAATGATATTAATCCAGTTTAATAGATGATGCCGAGTTCAATCATTACAAAAAATTAAAATCTTTAATTGTGATAGAAAGATTGAACTTGATATCATGCCTCAAAATTTCAACTAGCCTATATTTTTTGTAAACATTCCACCTTTTAGCAGAAAAAAAGAATAATTTAAACAAATTCAAAGGACAGTTTCTTGATTAACTACAGCAGAATAGTTTAAGGATAAATTTAGAGCATAAACTGAGGATTGTTTATTGATTTTTATTGAGTTTACGTTTTGCAAATTTTCGTAATCGAGTATATTTATTGTAAGAAAAATTTAATCAAAATGCCATTGAAAATTGTTTTATAGGCGTAGCCATACAATTAGCCTTCCTCCTTCCTATTGCACTGAGCACTAGAATTCATTAGAATAACGCTTAATATTAATTCTTGTAATGTACTTTGTATAATTTATAAAAGTATATCATAAAATATATGTTTAAATTAGAGATACAAGTATTTTTTTGTCGACAGTAGGATTAAAATACTTTTATCTATTAAGTTTAAACTTATCTTTGATTCCGGATGAACTTTAGTTCGATATATATCTAATCAAATAGAAACCGAAAATGAAACATAGTTTCTTATTTATTTAAGTGTTAATTATAGGATTGGATCTACAAATCCCGGATTATAGATAACAGTTATCTTGATTAACATTTTATAAATACTAAGAAAAACAGTTAATATTAAGAAATTATTTGTTACAAGAATTTTGTAAATTTTACTTGTTTAATATTAAAATGAAATATCATCTTTATATTTTTATTTTAATTTCAGAATTAGTGTATGGATTGATCCACAGATGTCCATATCCTGAGCTTATACATCCATGCATCTGCACACAAAATCAAGAAAGGTATGTTTCTATGAAATGTGACAAAATGGACTTTAAGAAATGGATAGAACACGCAAAAAATTTTCGGCCAACTCTCATTGATCTGTTTGAAGTTAGCGATTTAAAGATAGATTTCGTCTCGAAAGGAACGTTTCAAAAACTATGGATTCACGACTTAATTCTTAAAAACTGTGAGATGAATAAATGTGATTTGTTTCATTCGCTACAAGGTCTTCAAGACAGTCTAAGAATGTTAGTTTTAGAAAATTGTACAATCGGTGAATGGATAGAATCAAATGGAAATTCTTTCATACATCTAGAAATTTTAAAAATTTCGAATCTGAGATCGGCAATTGATATAAACGAAATAATACCTAATTTCCCTCGTAAAAATTTAATTGAAATCGAATTGAGTAAATGTGAAATATCTCATTTGAAAGATAAATCATTAAGTAAATTCAATCGTTTAGAAAAATTTGAACTGATGAATAACAAATTGAAATTTGTTCGAAGAAATGTTCTCCCCCGTCCAGCACTTCATTTGAAGTATTACGGATTATCGTAAGTATAAATTTTAACTTTTAACTAATTTATTTCTCTATAATAAGTAAATTGAATGATAACTAATAATACAAGACATTTTATGAATATAAATAAAGAATTTGAGGAAAAACTTGCATAAATTTGAATACGTTTTCGGATTCGTGATGCATGCGCGACTGTAGAACGAATTTGTAAATTAGAACACAAAAGTCATCAGTTGAAAAACTGATATTAAATATGCATTTTCTTCAGAAGTATCGTAATAACGAGATAAACAGAAAGACAGTCGGCGGAAAGCTACAATCATCCGAACTCTCAACAAGCATGTTAGTATAGTAACCAGTTCATTGAACGCTTCGTTTAATATGTTGTATGCTTATTATAAAAGTTACTTTGTACATGAGTCCAAAATGCACATAGTTAAAAATTATTCCTTTACGGACGAATACGTTGTAACCTCTATAATCCATAAAAGAATAATAATACAGTATTTAATTAATTATGTTTATCAAAGACTGCAAGCGATGCACTTCGTCGATAAATGAAAGATGTGAAACTGGGAGACTGAAAAGCCGTAAGATAAGTCAAAAAATTTAAGAAATAGACTAAATACGTCGTTCATAAATGATTTCCTACAGAAAAAGAGAACGAGTAAACGTATTTTCGGGTAATTTTCCTAGCTCACATCGGCAACATGGTAGAAAGTCAATTCAGCTCGATCAAAAGTTAAATCAAACAACAAAGACAAGCACAGCCGGAAGCATGCCCTCAATATCAAAGTTGGTCTCGGTTTCAACTCTTTGGCCAAAAGTTATGTAATGACAGACAGAACTATGAAAAGGATAATGGTAGATGTGATATATGATGAGAAGACGACAGTATGCATTAGAAACGAACCCAGGTCAAGAACGAATGCGCCCAACAGTGGCCGAGTAGATAAAACCACTGAACATTGGCGGTTGGTCGCGTGTTCACACCTCAACAACGGGTGGCCACGTGGAAGTTTTCCAAGTTTTCTTCACGTGTCTAGCATCAAATCCTCTTTCCCAAAGAAAGACCTCCTGGAGGGCACCCCTTCGCAGATCTCCCTTGTCTTGCGTTGTCATATCCCATCAATCCATCCAAGACAAGAAATAACAGGAACCGTCCACTTTCTTCAAAGGCCCTAGAAATATTCCTTTCACATTTGATGTAATCATAAGCACAGGATTATTTTTTCTGCCTTCTCATCCTACAACTTAACGGAAAAATACCCGCTGATAAGAAAAAAATGTACCATAAGGCAAAATTTGGACAAAAGTTTCTAATCTAGTCAGACCAAAAGAATCATCACAACCATTTTTCGTGGAGTCAAAAGAAGCTATAAACCAGGACACGTATATAACTGACTTGTGATTGCATTGAAGAGCACTTTATATCCAAAAGCACTACCCAGACAACAAAGGATACGTTTCGTCAAATTCAGTAAATACTGTAATATTACCATATTAAATATGAAAAAAAAAATTACAATAATCACTTTTAATTTGGGAACTGCTTCTTTTTATTTATAAAATGTTTTCGGCATTACATCCGATCATCCTCAGTATCACTTAACGAGCAACTTTTTCGAACATTCAATGTTCTTGGAATGCTAAATTATTCAAATACAGCAGTTAATTCAAACGCACTACACTCACGCAATGAGCGAATGTTACATTAAATTAGAATAAAGCAATGCTGTTAAGATGGAGAAGAAGGAAAATATCGCTTAGAGCAAGTGTATATTTTAATTTTTCGTAAATGTAAACAAATCAAAAATAAAGCGAATGCATACGATATACTAGAAGCGTGGAATATGTTAATCAACAACAAGAATTTTCTTGAATGAACAGTAACTATGATTAAGCTTCAAAATGCACACTAATGAAGCTGAAAACAAATATAAAATGTCAGAATATAGGCTAAATAATTTTGTTTTTAGTTAGTATATATATATATCCTTTTAATTTATTATTATTTTTATTTATTTATTTTTTCCAGCGACAATCCAATAACTACTCTAGCAGATGACATGTTTTTGGATATGCCAAGAATAAAATACATTTCTTTATCTGGAACCTTAATTACAACATTATCATTTCAAATTTTTATGTCTGTATGGGATCAGTTAGAAGAAATATATCTTAAAAGTATATATAAACTATTCATAATGTTTTTAAATTTATTTATTTATATAACTTATATGTGTTTTTCTCCTAAAGATATTCCAATCGTGTGTGATTGCAAGACTGTATGGATACTTAAAGAAGAGAAACCAACAAAAATAGAAGCTCCCGATTGCTATCAACCAAAAAATTTAAAAGGAATCAACATTTTAAACGTGACTGGTAATCTATTATGTACGTTTAGAGGAGCTTAAATGTATTGATAATAATACAAAATATCCAATGAGTCACTCTTAAGATAATAACTGATAAAAATAATATTGCTATTTATATATATATATATATGATGATAGAAATTGTCGTTCAGCTAACATTTTCATATGTAAATCATGATTTGAATATTAAACATAGAATTATATTTTAGAAATCTCAATAAATCTTAACATTTGGTTCATTTTCTTATAAATTTTTCAAGTTTAGAGTCGGTTCAAAAGTTTTTCATTCAGGTAAGTCGTTATTATTTTAGAAATTGAACACGTATCTAGAAGAATACACAATATTGTAATTAGAGAGATCGTAAGAGTATCGTATACATTTTTTTTTTTTTCCAGAATGTTGACATACATTTTTATGCTATTAGCTTTATCAACAACGTGTGTTGTTGGAATTTACCATAGATGCCCACTAAAAGAAAATATCCATCCTTGTACATGCGAGAAAATCAACGATCACGTGCAAATACTTTGCAATGGATTAACTTTTAAACAAATCAAAAATGTATTTTTTCAAGCCAAACATATAAATGAATACGATATTAACGAATTATTCATTTTAAACTCTTCTAATTTACAACTGTCGAGGGATTTATTTCGCGAACTAAACATTTACCAGTTAAAAATAGTAAATTCGGTTATAGCGAATTTCGATTTGTTTGGAGCATTTATCGGTTTACAAGAGATATTTAGTGGAATTATAATAAAAAATTGCACCATTCAAAATATTAATTTTACTACCGGAAACATGTTTCATCGAATGAGATTTTTAATATTCGAACAGACAAAGATAACAGATGTTATTACCACAAACATGGCGTCATTGTTTCCAAAGTCATTAAGGAAAATAACATTATCCTCTTCTACACGAAATGGAATTTCGAAAATCGAAGATAAATCCTTTTCTAGATTTCCATTAATTACAATACTTAATCTATCTTATAATCAAATTTCGTCAATTCGAAGATCAATATTTCCGAATCCTGCAAAACGATTACAAGATTTAAACTTGGCGTAAGTATTTCTTTCAGCTGGTGTCTTAAATACGTTAAACAATTTTAATATTAATTTAATTTGATGTTGCAGTTATAATAATATACAATTCTTGCCGGATGACATCTTTGAACAAATGCCATATTTAGAATTTTTAAATTTGAGTTACAATAAAATGAAAATTCTATCCGTCTCCACATTTCTAAAAGTATGGAATCAGTTACATCATGCTAACTTAACCGGTAAGTCATTTGTCTATTATCTAATTTTATTCAAATTAAATTATAATAATATACGATAACAGATGGCACCACGAGAGCCGTAAGATAAGTCAAAAAATTTAAGAAATAGACTAAATACGTCGTTCATAAATGATTTCCTACAGAAAAAGAGAACGAGTAAACGTATTTTCGGGTAATTTTCCTAGCTCACATCGGCAACATGGTAGAAAGTCAATTCAGCTCGATCAAAAGTTAAATCAAACAACAAAGACAAGCACAGCCGGAAGCATGCCCTCAATATCAAAGTTGGTCTCGGTTTCAACTCTTTGGCCAAAAGTTATGTAATGACAGACAGAACTATGAAAAGGATAATGGTAGATGTGATATATGATGAGAAGACGACAGTATGCATTAGAAACGAACCCAGGTCAAGAACGAATGCGCCCAACAGTGGCCGAGTAGATAAAACCACTGAACATTGGCGGTTGGTCGCGTGTTCACACCTCAACAACGGGTGGCCACGTGGAAGTNAAATATTTTGTAGCGCACATTTAATCGATAAAATAATAATAATAAATATATGTTGTATACAATCAGACCTCCTTTAAGAGTTTCGAACTGTATTATAGGAAAGTGTGAATAATTTTTAACCATAGACCAATTGAAATTTTGTAGTTTGCTGTTTACCTCCAGGATGGGACCTCCCGCAACCCACCATATGTTCTTTTAGAAAGCAAACAAAAAAACTTCCATAAATAACTCGAACTTTTTTAACTCTAAATATGAAAGTCACATTAACATTGAACTCCATACGAATGAAGAATGTAAACATTTCAGCATGTAATGACTCATCGGAATTAAAGTCTGGATTTTAAATCATATATATGATTTTTATATCGATTCATATAGACGAATCGTAAATTATAACCATCATTGATTTACTGTATAATAATTCACGCATGGCTGCTCAATGAAATGTATCCTATGGTTACATATATTACAAAATAGTAAGCGGAATTAGTTATATATCTTAATAATACGCGTAAAGAATACAAAATGCATTTTACATATGACCTAGAATGAAAATAATGTAAGTTAATTATTACAAAACACATAAAGTACAATACAAACTCATAAAGATGCAATTTAAGGTATAAAAATCGAGCAATTTTTTTCTCTCTTCTAGGGTAAATGAATAAGATTTTAAAAGAAACAAGGATATATTTCGGATCATTGAACGAACTTTTCCTCTTGCAAACAATGATCTTAGATTTACTTATAGAAATCTACGTGAATCACTCTCGGAAAATTTTTCTGTTATAAATAAAATTGTTTAGTATATAATACTTAAATTGTGTTTGTTCATTGGTAATTGCCATTGCTATTATTATTGTTGTTATTATATTGCTTTCTTTGTTTCGTTTCTTCTTTCAAAAGTTCGAAACTTTTGGCATCTACACCTGCTTTGTTTATGGAGATTCTAGTTGGCAAAATAGTTTGTATGAAAGGGGGAAAATGGTTGAAATGTGTTACAAAATTATACAAAATAACAAATAATCTCGTGTTTACTCGGTCGTTGAATATTATGTTTATGATCACGCCTGTTAATTCTCGGTAAAGTTCGAGATACTATGTAAATAACTGGTACAATTTATTAATTAGCAACATAAATGTAATCAAATTAATTTCTGAGTCTAGACAACCGCTTCCTCTTATATCACTATAAACACTTTCAATTTTTGGCAATAGTTCAAGCTACTTAAAAATACTTTAGATTTCTTTAAGCGATACTTTATTCCCTTATTTCGATACTATTTTTGGACATTTAAATATAATTTTGACGACTGTCTATACGGCACGTGGATCTTCTCTATAAAAATTTAAAGACAGGCGTTGGAGAAAAGGGGTGCACCGATAATGATAATACAGCTGCACCGATATAAATTTCAGTATTTATAAAAATACACCTGATATCCTGTAAATGATTAATTTCATAATATCATCAATAATGTTGCGTCAATTGTTTTTGGCTTTCAAAACGCATTATATGATTAATAACTATCTTAGGTAAATATGTCATGAGACGTCGGTACTTCATAAGCAAAAAATAATGTAATCATTGTCGAGACGGTAAGCCAGGTAGGTCAGAATGCAATAATGATGATTAAACAATAAAAAGCAAAACAATTAACACAGGGTTAAAAAAATTATCTCTTACCAACATTTTTTCACTACAAATGATAACATCAAACTACAAGTTTTCAACGCATTCTCTTTCAATTTAATAATAAATATTAAAAAAAAATTCTGACAGTTTCACCTGATTTTGAATAATAGAACCATTCATTTCTGTTTAATAAATTAAACAATCGTTATAATTATTTTTAATTTTTAAATGAGTAATTTTCCGCTTTAATCCACCAACTTTTTGATTTTTAAAATGTAGTTTACATCTATTTTCAGTCATCTCGAATTTCCTCGTTCGAACTAAATTTTCTTTTCTATTTAAAGGAGTGAAATATTGTGCAGTTAAAGTGTAATAATACATCAAAATCCTTAAAAATTTCTACTCGACACGCTACAAAAATCGAGAATAAAATAAAAACAAATAAAATTGTCTATATCAAAATTTAAATAACATCCCATTTGTAAACACTATAAAGGTGAAAGTTAACTTTTTTTTTTTCCAATCGATACAATTCGATTTGAATTTATTGATTGTTAAACCTCATGCGAGAAATGTGGCGTGTGATCACGTAAGATAGTACATTTCGTGATTTAGGAAGCCAGAAAATTCATAATATTGTAAAAAAAAGTTTATAGACAGACGACACTATAATTTTAATATAATTTTTTAACGATTTGTAAAATATTTTGACGATTTAGAAGAGGAAAAAATAAATGGGGAGGAAAATATTTACGAAAAAATATATTATTTATTTAAAACAGCATAACAAGAAAATGACGTGACGCAAACGAAAATGTCTGATATTCGTCATGCACAAGTTGACAACGTTATCTTCTAGATTTATCACGATTTTAAGATAAATGCAATGCATACCGACTCAAATATTCGTCTCCTTTGTTCTCGAAACGTGATTTTTTTTCTTCTTTCGTGCCATGCGTTACACAGTTAGAAAAGTTTCTTCCTACCAGTAAATTATATAAGGCTTTCTTTAAAAAGATAAATTAACTCGGCTATTTTAAAAAATTCTATCTTAATAAAAGATTCAACAAGTTACACAACAGCGGCACTATTGTGAAATTTCTTATTGATATCTTAAATTTCTATTCTTGATATAGAATCAAGGACATTTTTCTATCTGCATCAATATTAAGATAAATTCGATAGTAATCATCATCACTTGTCCGCAGATCTAATAAGCTTATGAAATTTAAATTTACGGTAAATAGATGTATTATAATTTTATTTTATGTTCTTGTGTTTTATTAAATATAGTGTAGTGTTTAATGCTATATCTGAATTCTCGCATCAATTAATCAGTAGTTTCTATAAAGAAACTATATACATTGTTTATGATTTTTCAATGAAAGTTAATGGAAATTCACTATAGATTACATTACTGTATTTGAATTCTGGTTTGTCCATTAATGACAATTCAGTATAGTAATGTATTCCGTAACGATAAAAATCACGCGAAGAAGAACAAGTACGCAACTATTTATCATCAGTACCATGCAAAATTGCTACTTATGTGCCATATTAATGATGACTTATAGAATCTAATTATGTTAAAGATGATGAGTCGTTCAGTTAACCAATAAATTAATTACTTACTGATACTAACTGAGGGATTTGGAGCAATGTGGTACATTCTTTTATATATTGCGTTAGATATAAAAACACGAATAAAGATAACGTTATATGTATTATCATTATAGCGGATGAGAAAATGTTCCAGAAGCCGAAAATAAATAAATAATATTTGTCCGTCTTTACCATAAATTATCATCTGTTATTTATTAAAGATTATCAAAATGTGTTTTAAATATACAATATAAACAAATATACATTTAATATCATTATCGACTTTTCTGACACGTTTTCTTCATTAAAGATAGAACATTATACAACTCATCATATGACAATTCTCAAAATTTCTAGTGGAATCTCTGAATTAGCAAAGCTCATGATATTTCTCGAACTCTTCTGCTCGGGACAAATTATTTCTTCGAATAATATTTTATAGAATAACACTTCAAATATCATATGAGTCATAAATTTTTTTCATCGATCTATCTAACAATTGTACTTAGCCTATATTGTAGAAGCGTGCACAAAATTTATATATAGGCCTATATCTTACAAATAGGACCATATGTTATATATAAGAAATATATTAAAATATGAGATTCTTAAATCACTTTTTTTTTAAATAATTTTCTATATTTACACCAAAGAAGATCGGATAAAAGAAGCATTAGATTTAACTCACGATATAATTTAAGTCTATTTTATAATAGTATGAATTATACATAAATTAATAACTTATTAAATTGTAGACTAGTGTTTCCCAACCTTTTGTAGTGGCGACCCTCTTTTAGCGTACTGGAAGACCGTGACATTACCAGGAAATAATGTTGGCAAGTATCGCGACTCACACTAGTTAGAAAATATTATTAAAAATCATATAAAATCTTAGTCTTTAGTGCATTTGAATTGTTTGTATGTCTGGTATTCTAAATTAATGTTTTCTTTGTTTGTGAACCAAAAAATCAATCAGGCCTACATTTTTCCATCAAAACTTTTTTCGACTTCCGATCTTACTTTTGATTTTATCTTTAATAATACGTTGTAAATGAATGATTCATGAAAAGTGCCTACAGCACTTCATTTCAAAACCTGTAATCTTTATATTAACCATCGGGTAACACATTATAAATGTAGGCCTATCAAAAAAAAAAACTATGAAAATAATACTAACTGATCCTTTAACACTTAATATAAATACATATAATTTCATACAATTTTAGAAATTTCAAACATTTTTTATTCGAATTTAATTTGACACCAAAGAGTAAATGGATTCAAAACTTTATAATCACTTTTCTAGAGAAATAAAATTATATTATATAATGTCAA